AGAACGGTCACGCGTTTTAACTCCGCTGCGTTAGTAGATCCTAACAGAATCCATNTGAAATAAAGAATTTAACCAGAACGGTCACGCGTTTTAACTCCGCTGCGTTAGTAGATCCTAACAGAATCCATTTCCAAGGTAGCAAAAACTAAAAAATCCATTTAAAATATTTTTTTTTTTTAAGTTCATTGAACGCTGTTCTTAAGTCAAAAGAATAAAAATCCAAAGGTTTTTCTTTTGTCTTAAGGTCAAGGTAATTTTTCATTTAATCAGACCTTTAAAATTACTCAAAAGTAACATTTTTAATTTTTTTATCTTTTTTACCTAAATTCCCCATATCAAAAGCTTTAAAGCACCGTCACATTTATTTCGATCTCTTCATGTTTGATTTTGTCCCCTTTTTTCAAAAATAGAACACTGTGCGCCATATACACGGCCCAACGTACAGAGTAACTCTATTATTCTTCGCGCTGAAAACATTATCGGACAATATTAAAGGTGGTGGAGACCAGCTCTGTTATTGAAAAAAATAAGCAAAGGAGAAAAGAGTAGGGTGCAAAGCGTGGATGACAAAAAAATAGTTATCTTAGAAAAAGCTAAAATGTTTAACGTCGCCCAGGCTAGAAATTTCGTGTGGAAATTATATAATTTATAAGAATAAATAAAATCAATTACTTTTTTACTATAAGAGATATACACCTAGAATTTTGTCAACTTGTCAACGAAGGTACAATATATATATCTGCCTACGATAAGAAATCAAATTGATCTTCCCAAACCCCCGAAATTCAGCATACAAAATGAATATGGGCACTGAGTGACCAACTCACGGTTGTAAGGTTAAACGAGTTTAGCTGCTTGTAAACTTTTCCAAGGTATTTTCTCTGTTAAATACCCTTTATCACTAAACATATGGTTTTGCAAAGTTATGTTGTTTTATTTATTTTCAGTTCCTACGTTATTAACTTTTATTTTTCGGACTTTATGATTCGCCGAGGAGGTTTAATTTATTACTTAAAAAATTAAATTTAATCCAGTTCATACGGAATAACTTCATTGCCAGAAGTACCAATAAAAGTAGGTATCGATAATTTAGAACCGACGCCCTATCTCAGCTGCCGATTCAAAAACGCCCTATCTGAGCACATTTTCAATGTATTTTCGTTTGAAGTAGGGCGTTCTTCAACCAAGTTCTGAGATAGGGTATTTTTCAATAAAATTTTGAAATAAGGCGTTCTTCAGTCATATTCTGAAGTAGGGCGTCCTTGAAAAGTTTTCTGAGAAAGGGCGTTTTCGAACTGGCTGCCGATATAGGTCGACCTTCCACTCAGCCATCGATATGTGGGTTTATGTATAACGATCGCTTAAAATCGATCTCAAATTTGTACTTGCGCTGTAGAAATTTTAGGTCTATGTTACGTAGTTTGACTATTGTCAAATAAATCTAATCTTTTGTATTGCATACGCTTCATGTTTTTGGTTTTCAGTCTCATAAATTGTTTATAATGACTTTTACTAAAATTTCAAAATCAAAAGTTATAAAAACAAATGCTATGAGACTGAGGATATTATTTTCTAATTTTTAGCCCATTTATAAAAGCGTGGTATATTAAAAAGCTTTCTTATTTTATTTATTTTTTCCTTCTTGTCGTTGTCTAGCTCACGCATTTTATAATATTGTCGTTTTAAACAACCATCTGATTTTCACGGTAACCATATCTCCTGACAAAGCTTCAAAGGGCAGAGAATGTGCCTTTTTGCCTTACAGGAATGTGACATTTTAAAAATCGAACCAAAATTTTCTCACCCTTTGCCTTTAATTTAGAATCGAACGCGAACAGAGAAAGGGGTAATCAAAAGGCGACCATATTTCGTAAAAACAAAATAACCATAAGTTTTTGTGTATTTTTCTAGCACTTTAAGTCGAATTTTTGTGGCACATTTTGCGGCGCATAAGAATCCGTAACAGTGATGAGTTAGTCCTCAAACGGGTAAGACCGTCTCAAGACGGTCTTCACCTTTCTGCCTTCAGAGTCAAACATAATTACTTTTCGTGCTTAAATTAATGGTAAATGTGTGCAAATTACTGTGTTTGACATTTTGATACTAAAATGAGTGCACTCCGACAACGCATTTGAGTGCTGTTTTCAGTAAAGTGCGAGCAACGAATCAAATAGCGCCTGAAATTACTTTGCGATTTGTGTTTCGTTTAATTTAAAAAAAGACACATTTAGAACAAAGCAACTGATTTCATAATTTTACGGTAAGTACCTGACATATTGTATTTGAGTTATATAAAATGTTGAAAGTGAAAAAATATTTGTAAGTGTCTTGAGACTGTCTTAGCCGTTTGAGGGTAAAAACATATTCCTCCTCTGTTTCATTGCGGTTTTCATCTTTTCTGCACAGACATATAAACGTGTGCCTCTTATTGCAATTATATATATTTTTGCGTGAAATATGGATCGTTCTGAGCGTTATTATAAAAAGAAAAAAAAATTGGCAGAATTAACGGATGGAGAATTAATGGAATTCATTGATTCTGTGGAAGTCGAAGACGAAACTTTTAGCAGTGATAACAGTATTGTTGACCCAGACTAAGTCGTTCATAACATTGAGTATAATAACTCAGCTGATCAAGTGATTGAAGAATGCATGAATGAAATGGATGAGGCTGAACATACGGATGCAGTTATCACGTAAGGTATGAATTTATCAAAGAATATCAGTTCAATTGAACTACCAGCAGCTAATTCAACATTAATTCTCGATGAATCAGTTGGTTTGCAAAAACCGTCCACATCCTCAGCGGTCATAACAAATAGACCATTAAAATCAGTCAAAAGTCCCCGATCACCATTGCCAACCGTTGAAGAAAGTGGACCATCAGTTCAACCTACTTCTGGTGGCTTCACTGGAGAAGGTATAAATATAGTTCCTATATTTCTCTTATTACTTTCCTTTGAAACAAATATTCAATCAAGCTCTAACTGCAGTATCGAGTAAAGAGTTGTCGAAAGCGATCTGGCGTAAACGCGCTTTGCGTCTACATGTCAACGAAGTGGCTTTCCGTGGCGATTCATCACTAACGTCGACTGTAAAAGAGCTCCAAACACCAATGGCATTCTTCAATTCCTTTTTCACCTCGGAAATTTTGGAGATGATAGCAAAAGAGACGAACTGTCGTGCTTTAAGGAAAATATTAACTCCACCTTCAAAACCACAAGGCATTATGTTGGAATAATGATATACATGTCCGTTTATCACTATTCAAATATAGACAGCTATTGGGGGCAAAATTCATTTAAACCAATTCAAAACTCTATGCCAATCAAACGATTTATTGCCATAAAAAGGTATTAATCTTTTCAAGAAGAATCGCAAAGAATAAAAAGGGTCCACCGGGCTATGATCCACTCTTTCATATTCGTACATTGGCTAACAAACTAAACGACCGATTCGATTCAGTCCAGAAGTCAGTCAGGCTTTGCGTCGATGTAATGATGTGCAGCACAAAGACGAAGCTCCATCTTCGCCAATATATGTCGTTCATAACATTGAGTATAATAACTCAGCTGATCAAGTGATTGAAGAATGCATGAATGAAATGGATGAGGCTAAAATACGGATGAATTTATCACGGAAGGTATGAATTTATCAATGAATATCAGTTCAATTGAACTACCAGCAGCTAATTCAACATTAATTCTCGATGAATCAGTTGGTTTGCAAAAACCGTCCACATCCTCAGCGGTCATAACAAATAGACCATTAAAATCAGTTAAAAGTCCCCGATGAGGCTAAAATACGGATGAATTTATCACGGAAGGTATGAATTTATCAATGAATATCAGTTCAATTGAACTACCAGCAGCTAATTCAACATTAATTCTCGATGAATCAGTTGGTTTGCAAAAACCGTCCACATCCTCAGCGGTCATAACAAATAGACCATTAAAATCAGTTAAAAGTCCCCGATGAGGCTAAAATACGGATGAATTTATCACGGAAGGTATGAATTTATCAATGAATATCAGTTCAATTGAACTACCAGCAGCTAATTCAACATTAATTCTCGATGAATCAGTTGGTTTGCAAAAACCGTCCACATCCTCAGCGGTCATAACAAATAGACCATTAAAATCAGTTAAAAGTCCCCGATCACCATTGCCAACCGTTGAAGAAAGTGGACCATCAGTTCAACCTACTTCTGGTGGCTTAACTGGAGAAGGTATAAATATAGTTCCCATATTTCTCTTATTACTTTCCTTTTAAATAAATATTCAATCAAGCTCTAACTGCAGTATCGAGTAAAGAGTTGTCGAAAGCGATCTGTCGTAAACGCGCTTTGCGTCTACATGTCAACGAAGTGGCTTTCCGTGGCGATTCATCACTAACGTCGACTGTAAAAGAGCTCCAAACACCAATGGCATTCTTCAATTCCTTTTTCACCTCGGAAATTTTGGAGATGATAGCAAAAGAGACGAACTGTCGTGCTTTAAGGAAAATATTAACTCCACCTTCAAAACGACAAGTGCTGAAATCAGACATTATGTTGTAATAATGATGTACATGTCCGTTTATCACTATTCAAATATAGACAGCTATTGGGGGCAAAATTCATTTAAACCAATTCAAAACTCTATGCCAATCAAACGATTTATTGCCATAAAAAGGTATTAATCTTTTCAAGAAGAATCGCAAAGAATAAAAAGGGTCCACCGGGCTATGATCCACTCTTTCATATTCGTACATTGGCTAACAAACTAAACGACCGATTCGATTCAGTCCAGAAGTCAGTCAGGCTTTGCGTTGATGTAATGATGTGCAGCACAAAGACGAAGCACCATCTTCGCCAATATATGCCAAACAAGCCGCATAAATGGGCCGTAAAGTTGTTTGTGCTTTGCCATACGAATGGCTTTGCCTACCGTTTCGAAATCTACAACACATCAAATATTGTTATTCGTTTATCACAAACAATTCCCGATTTCGTTCCACACATACTCTACTTTGACAACTTCTATACATCATTGCCTCTGTTGGTATATTTGCGAGCTCGTGGAATTTACAGTTTAGGCACAGTGAGAGGTAATTGGGTTTTCAGCAGTTTTTGTTGATAAAAGTGCATGATTATATTTTTATTTACAGCTAACCGCATACCAGGTTGCAAGTTACCGACCGACGGCGAGGTCCGCAAAGAGAGTAGAAGTTTTTCCACCGAATACATGACCTCAGCTCAAGGAATCGATCTGAATACGGTTTTATGGACGTATAACAAATGTGTGCGCCTGGCATCTACATATGTTGGTATTGAAGAGCGAATTCTGGTATTTTGAGAGCGAATTCTGATCTGCAAACAGCGAAGGTGTCCCGATATGATAGAAAACAAAAACACTTCATATAATAAACTGTCCGCAAATCATACGCGAATACAATGCTCACATGGGTGGATGGACAGTCTTATGGGTCGCTACCATATTCAGGCTAAAATATTATGATGTGACGTTTTTATCATTTTGTGGATATGGCGGCTACGAATGCCTATATTTTGTACAAATGTGTGCGTGCTGAGAAAGCAAATGATTCCAGCAATGTATCCGAAGAAGAACAACAATACAATCTTCCGCAATTCCGTGAGGAAATAGCTCCTGGTCTTGTTTCTTTCAAAGAAAAAACGGCCTGTAGGTAGACAATCATCTGTGCAAGGTATCGATCGCTCGGTATCTCAACAGCCTAGCCCCTCAATAACTGGAAGAAAAGCTCTTCATCAAGTTGATGATGTTCGATTCGATGGCCAAGACCATTTCCCGATTTGGATGGATAGAAAAGGGAAAAACGGTGCAAATATTGTAAGAAATCAGACACACAAGTCACTTGTTCCAAATGTGACCTTCATTTATGTTCATGCCTCGAAGTCAAATGAAATTGATTAATTTAAAAAAAATTGCCTGAATAACTTATGTTTCCTAATAAAATTGTTCTAAAAACATGTCTACATAATTACAATTTTATTCACGCGCAAACCGGCAAGACCGTCCTGAGACGGTGTTGAGTATTTCTCACATAACAATAATTCCACACAAAATTTTTATCTGAAAACTCAATCTTAAGGATATTTTGCCTATATTTACATGCACACAAAATGTCAGCTTGATCTGAGCATTTTTACGGGTTTGCCCGTTTGAGGGTTAAGTTTTGTGACTTTCTGAAACAGATAACAGAAGATGAAGAAAAAAATAACAGCTTACTCTTTTATACTTTACTACGTCGTTTAAAGTTAATTACCTTCGTATATTTATGATTTCTAATACTTGCAATATTTTCGAAGAGAAGTATGTTTGTTAGTTAGATGAGTCTTTTCCAAAAGAATTGCAGATAATTGCTGCTAGAATAGATTACATATTAATCCTAACTAGTATAGAAATAATTACTTCTATATCACAACAAAAAGATCGAAACATAAAAAAAGATATACCGGCAGGTTCTGCATTTCACTTCCGAGTGAATTTGAGTCAAGTTTGCTTTGAATTCAAATTGGCTCAACCCCTGCCACTCGGAAGTGAATTGCAGAACCTGCCCGAATGTGTGTTGAATTAAGCAATGCACAGGAAAAAATACTAATTTCTTTAAATTAAATATTTACGTGTACGGGGCGGAAAATCAAGTAATGTAATGACATTTTCAATAATCCGCGGAGCTTCTATGGGACGGAGATATATTATTTTCTACTTTTTAGTCCATTTATAAAAGCGTGGTATAATAAAAGGTTTTTTTTTTTTAATTTAATTTTTTGTTTTCTGATCCGGAACGTAAATGAAGAGTGAGGATGGTTTCCCCAACTCGAGAACACGCCACATATAGCTGACGGGGTTCGGAAATTCTCACTCACATTCTCTCACGTTCGCGATCGATAATATTCCAAGTCTAGTTTTGCATTCCTTTATCGCGAGTGAAAAATGCAAACAAATTTATCATCTCTCACATTCGGAATGCGATCGACAAAAAAATTGTCGCTGCTTTTCATTCGCGATCGAAACAAGCAAAGAAATTTCCTCTCACTCGAATATGAGAAGTCCGAGCATTGCCGATGTCGGCCTCTCATAAATAAGAAAAACGATGCAAATAATCCATTCGCAATCACTCAAAACAGCTTATCGCGATAAACTTCGCGAAAAATTTTCAACGACGTTGTATGGGAGATATTTTTCGCGTTTTTTTTGGGTATGCATTTTGTTATGCATTGTACGCTGTATGCATAACAAAATGCATACCTGCATATATGTTCATATGGATATGTAAGTAATGCAAGCAAATGCTTTTCAGTTGGAAGGAATGTGGGAATATGCACAAATATGTATATGAATTATGGTGGAAACATATATGTATGTATCTACATATACGTAAATTACGTACATGCATACGTGTAGTTAAAGTATATTCCAAGCGTACACTTTTCAGTATAATGGTGTATCTGCATGCTATTTTATTATAATGATTGCGTTTATATTTTTATATCTAATAAATGGAACTTAGTGGGGGTAAGATTGACTAATGAGAAAAGTGGGCGCCTGGTGAAGCCTGAGAGTAAAGAAAAGCAGAAAAAACAATACATATAAATTTTTTATTTATTTTAAATGTTTTGATTCTCCATTATAAGGATATTAATAAGCAGGGAACGGATTTTATGGAAATTGCCTTTTTTTCTGCTAAAGAGATAGAGTATATTCGATTAAGAATGTCCACGATTTAGCTTTCCCTGATTCCATGTATACACATTTGATGTTGCCTTTTTTTGCCTTTTTTAAGATATTTGCCTTTTTTTTCCTTTTTTAAGATATTTGCCTTTTTTTGCCTTTTCTACCTTTAAAAAAGTGATTATAGCATTTACAATTTTTTTCTTAAGATTAAAAAATATACACATGCCCATGCGGCTTATAGAAGCGCAGGGACCTCTTGCCAAATTGGTGTTGGAAAAATTCAAAGCCGTTTTCTCAGCTAACGTAGGCTTGGAGACAATAAGGGGTGTGGATAAAATTGTGAAGGGCGAGGAAACGTTCCATATTTAAATTGGGCTCCACTTGTATCAACTTACGTCGAGCGCACATTTAGTACATTCAAGGCTTTTCTTCGCGAAAATCGAATGAAAATGCTGCCCGAAAACTTCAAAATGCATCTTGTGGTTCAATGTTACTACAACTATACGGATTAAAGTTTTATGAGTTAGAAACCCGAAAGGATAAA